ATAAAAGAAAATACTTTTTGTCATTTTATTAAATGGTACCCTATGGAATAAATATGTCACATTTTTATTTCCAATGTTGTCTAGCACAACTGTTTTTTTTTATTGTGTAAATGAGCAGACGTATCACCTGCTACGTTGATTACAATCGGCGCTGCCCATGGACACCCGCCACACCAGAGGTGTTACAAGTGCATTACCCGCATTTTGGGGATTAGGAGATAGAGGATTGTTGGGGATTCAGGGATTGGAGAGATTGGGGGGGAAGCTTAATTGGGCCTCTGGTAGCCTGACTCATACGACGTAACACATCGCAAGCGTTGCTTCACGTCGGTTAACTGTGAGTTCGTTAACTGTTAGCAACTGTTTTGTTAACTAGAACTAATGTTACTTTTAGATAAATGTTATCTGTAACGTGTGAGATATCAATAAAGACTATTGCGTTTCATTGACTTAACATCCTTGCATTACAATGCACAATAATCTACCAAATCACAAAATCTATAACCAATCTAAAACGATAGCCATAAAACATTGAAAACCAATAACAATAACTTCAATAACAAAGAAATCCTTTTCAATTTTATAATGGCGGGCAATAACCCTTCAAGTGCAAAGTTGCTATAAAGACTTGGTCACAGAGCCGTATTATCCCAAGGCAAACTAGACCATGGCGTCAGATGACAGAGGGGCGCTGGCACGCCGGCACGCTTGACCATAGAGGTGGTATAAGGAGTCCGCCATGGTCGTTCGGAGTTTTAAGACGCCCGCTTTCAACAGCAAATACCAATGTAACTTTTTCCGAGTTATATGTACTTTCTAAGATTATTTAGACATCACTCACAAATGGTGATTAAAAACATTGTGAGAAAACCTGATCTTATAATTTCTAATTATAAGTTTGAAGTCGCCAACCCGCATTGAGCTAGCTAAAACCTTCTTCGTGTGAGAGAAGGCCTTTGGCCAGCAGTGGCCACTTATAGGCTGTTGATGTATGAGGTGTTTGTATAGGGCGCTTTGTAGGTTTAGTCCGCCTCTGAACTAGGGGAGACACGCGGAGTAGTGGTGGGGCGTTTGTGCACCGCACTTGCATATAACCCTTTGTAGACTAATGAAGCGGCCAGTCTGGATCGCTTGCAAAGGACGATACCGCACGAACAGATAAAGATAAACCTTGTAATGACAGTTTTATTTTGTTAGAAATGTAATGTGAATTTGTTTGTGGATTCATAACTGCAGTCTGTGAATATAATTCGTTTGATAGTATAGTTGTTAAAGTAATTGGTTCTAACCAAGAATTTGTTATTATTGTCTCATTCTAAGAATTACATAAAATGAAAAATAATTATGTAGGAAGAAAATTACAACTCGTATCGTAGTGGTTCGAAACCCGACAAGTACCAATGTTACGTTTTCAGAGTTATATGTTCTTTCTAAGAGTATTTAGACACCACTGACAGACGGTGAAGGTAAACATCGTGTGGATATTTGTGGAAATCTGGACTTACAATGTCATACTGTAAGTTTGAAATCGCCAATTTGCCTACAGAAAGCGTGGTGGTTAATGCTCAAACCTTCTTCGTGCGAGAAGAGGCCTTTGTTCAGTAGTGGGTACTTATAGGCTCATGATAATAACCGAACCCAGTAAAAATTCCACGAAAAATATATTATAATAACAACAATGTCGAAAGAATAAATTGGTCACTTACACCCAACCGCTAACTTACCAAACAAACTATATTTATTAAATCTATCTGAACTAACAAGATCATTAATTATTACATTAGATATAAAATACTATTTCCGACCACTTAAGTGGTCCATTTACATACAATTTTGAGTTTTAAGTATCAAAGTCATCGCTTAAAGTAAATCACGCCCACACATTACTTCGAAAACCTTAGTTCTAGGGGATTTTACCTCTTGTCCACTTAGTGTTCGTTGAAGGGAAGATTTAACAGGGAATGAAATATTAAATTACTAGGTACATATTAAATTAACGTTTGGAACTATTTCTATTAATAGATGAACCTTTTAGACACGCTATCTAGTAATCCTATACGAATCTGTTTTTAGAATAATGTGGGTGGATAGGTTTTATATGATAATGTAAAAAAGAGTTATTGTTATTGAGACAGTTATAGAGACTTATGTAATCTCATCGTCATTATCAACTCATTTATTCGTATGACTGCCTCGTTGGTCGACTGGTTTTCGATTCCCGTTCATATTGGGCAAAGTAAAAACAAAAAAAAAACCAGTAGGTTTTTAAAAAATCTCAGTAGTAGCGCAGTCTGGAAACGTGCCCGGTATATGGCAATAGGCTCACCTCCTAGTATATGGGACTTGTAACATAAATAGTGAAAAGCAGGTATTACTTCTGTGTACACCTCTGCCTACCCCTTTGGGGATAAAAGGCGTGATTTTATGTTATTTGTATGTAGAAAACAAAACAAATTGCCAACACACATGTCACTGCTCATTTTTGCACAAAGCAACTCGAAATTCAACCAAAAATTATCTGTAGTCACTACCCTATAGTCTCATTTGGTCATTATGCAATATCTCGCGGTCCGCGGGGCCCGGCGCTCGCTGGAGCCCGGGGGCCCACTGACTGCATACACTATTCATTACATGGGCTCGTCCTAATGAGACAATGTATTCAAGTTTGTGTTTCCGCGGCAAAGGACTCAGCTTTACTGAGGTTTACTTAGTTGGTATTCCGATCGTGTATGTTTACGCTACCACCTGTATAAGACTGTATACCTAATTATAATGTGCGAGGAATGCGACGCAAATATACGCTCTATGTTTTATGTAACAAGGGTTCGGTTTGTGGGCAATTTAAGGAGGAAAAATGTATTGCTACGTATCCCTGGTGTGTTATACAATTACTTGATACAGTTTATACGTTATCCATCCTCCCCTCCTGACTGTAATTATCTGGGAATGCAGTGACCGTTTATTTGCTACAGTTACAGGTTAAGCAATTTACCTAATAATTGGAAATAAAATTTCTTAAAACTATAGAACCTTATATACCTCTATATAACCCTATATGACTGCCTCGTTAGCCGAGTGGTCGCAAGTGCGACTACCGAGCAAGGGGTCTCGGATTCGATTCCCGGGTCGGGCAAAGTATTACCGGGTTTTAAAAAAATCTCAGTTGCAGCACGGAGTCTGGAAATGTGCCCGGTATATGGTAAGAGGCTCACCCCCTATTACATGGGACTCATAACATAAATAGTGAAAAGTGGGTGTTACTTCTGTGTGCACCTCTGCCTACCCTTTCGGGGATAAAAGGCGTGATGTTATGTTATGTATAGAACCCTGTGGATTACAAGACCATTTAAGGACAACAAATCATTGAAAATATTTAATTTGTTAACTACTTTTATATTACAATTACGTCTCTTCACTTTATTACATTAAGTTACAAGCCAAACAACACAGTCGATACTTCCAACCAATACACAGAATTCAATCCAATATCTTGAGTTTCTCTCTACGTTACAGTAAGTGCAGTTTAGCCAAAATCCTGTGAGACCAAAACTTGGTGTGCAGAAGTGTCCTGCAAAATATATGGTGCATAGCCGACCGCAGTACTAACAGCTCATAATAATCGCAAAGGAACTCGAACTGAATACCAATGTACTTGCACAAATACTATCTACACTTAGATAAAGCACCCAGAAATTGGATCGTCCATAAATAATTCCCAATTTGAATAATGGCTGCGCAAGCTAAAGTCGAATCTCCCCTTTAATTTTTAATGTTAAATAGACAGTTTTGAAGATTTATTTGTTTAAGATTTTATGTAATGACGTTAACAGAAATTGGTGGGTTTAATGGTTGCGTATTATTACCTGTTTTGATATTTTAGTATTTACAGTGTGATCTGGATCGTGTTTTCTAAAGCTTCCTTCAGATACTAATGTATGTTACATTACCTTTAAAGCCCAATAAAAAAAGGATTACTTATGTTATGATAATACAATTAATATTTTTATGGGATAGCCGGTTAACGAGGAGACGGATCACCTGATGGTAAGCAATTGGCGATGCCTATGGACTCGTGAAAAGTGGTATTCACTATAATGGGCTCATGTGCACCCATTGTCTATTTATTACCAACTAGCTTTTACCCGCGACTTCGCTCGCGTCACAAAAGGATAAAAGTAGCCTATGTGACATATAACAATACACACAGCGCCATCTATATCAATTCTTTTGTTTTCCCTCGGGAATATCAAAATTTTCCGGGATAAAAAGTACCCTATTATTTAATCCGGACTTCTAACTTTACGTCTGCAAAAATTCAAAGCAATCGGTTCAGAAGTTACGGCGTGAAAGCGGAACAAACAAACAAACTTACTTTCCCATTTATAATAGTATAGTAAGGATATTCATTTTAGCCTTGAATAAAAGGATAATACAGCGCCATATTCAAAGCGCCCGACCACAATTACTCAAGATACTTCATTATTAACTACAAGTAGCCACTATGCTGTTATAATTTAAAATGAGAAATTAATAATTTAAAATTCTCTACATTTTTCCCCTTCCTTTTTCTTTCGCTCGGATTTCCTAAGATTAATTAAAAATCCGGCCAAGCGTGAGTTTAACTCGAGCGTTTAAGGTCAGTACGCCATTTTAACTTTTTAAAAAGTTGACATATTGACCTGTGACCTTCTTACCCACTTAATGTCGTTACGTAAAAATATCTCAACTTGCTAGTTATATACAGAAACAAACAGAAAATTATAATTATAAGTGAGGCTTGACATTATTAGCCATTTACATTGCCAAGCTATTTGTAATTACTTAACGTTAATGTTTTTAAGTTTTTTTTTTTCTTGAACGTTAGAAGTGAAATTTTTTGTGTAATACGCATTTGGTAAATGTGTTTTATGTTCCGCAATTTTAATCTTGCTTAATAAACAATACTACCTGTCCTACGCCACGCCAGTTGTCTACTCTCCATCCGTCTTACGAATTTACGATCAGGTCACGTGTCCTGACGCGAGTCCTGACGCGAGTCCTGACGCGAGTCCTGACGCGAGTCCTGACGCGAGTTTAAAACATTTTTTACTCATTATAAAAAAGTGTATAACGCCGCTATAGTTTTCACTTCAATAATTATGCGATAATATGACATAAACGATAAATGATTCTTCATTGTCATAACCCTAGAACATACAATGAGCTTAGGTAGTTGTACCATATCAGACATTATGTTTTCACAACAACGTCTTTTACTGATCAAAATAAGAAAGACATTGTAAACAGATATAATAGAACATTACAGACACAATAATAGATAACATCTGTTCAGATACGAATGCAGGTCTGAGTGTTCAACATTTTCAATTTTAGTAGAGAATTCTAAAGTACTTCCGTGAGTAATTTCCTGGACATTTGCTTCCCCCGGATAGAAGAGGAGATTTATTCTATATTGCTTGCAGTTTTTCGTATAACCTACGTATTACATGTATTTAACTATCTATATGTATAAAATTAATCTTATTTTCCTTTGATCAAACGCATCATGTGTCAGTCTCATCAGACTGAAGCAATTGCGAGTTTTTTTATGGAATAATCCGGTAAACGAGCACATGGATCACCTGATGGTAAGCAATCGAAAACCCATGGACATCCGAAACACTGGAGGTGTTACAAGTGCGTTACCGGACTTTTGGGGATTAGGAATTTGAGGATGTTGGGGATTCGTGGAATGGGGAGATTGGGGAGGGGAATTACTGGGCCTCCGGTAACCCCACACGAGGAAACACAACGCAAGTGTTGTTTCACGTCTGTTTTCTGCGAGGCCGTGGTTATCACTACAATCGAGCCATTGGCCCATTCTTGCCGAAGCAAGGCTCTCCCACACTTAAACTTTGCGACTTCTTTTTGTTTTCTTTGTTATTATCAGCTTCATAAGTAAGAATCGTTACCGCTAATAGTAATGGACCATGCAATCGAAAATTGGTTAAGATTTAGACTAAAAATTTACTGTTAAGATAAGAGCTGACCAAATTGAAGAAAGAGTGAACACAATATTTTTTTTATAACAGAAAAACTTTCATACCAGTAATGACAGGAAGCAACATAATATTCTATTACGCTTCCTCTACTAAATTACTAATAGTCTGTCATCCAGACTTTATTAATGAACGGTATATCGATATATCGAGGGATAGCAGGGGTAGAAGTTACTGCAAGAGGCGACAGTTTAATTAGCGAGGCGGCACCGCTACCTCGCGTCGCGATTATTGACCCCGTCTCTATTAACATTTAGTAAGCATAGCACGGTAAATAGGAACGTGTATATTTTATATTATGTTGAAATAGGAAACAGTTTATTATAGTACATAATCCTATAAACACTAGAATCAATCATCAAATTATTTAATTGATACGCTATTCTCATTTAAGCGATAATTTACTTACAGTTAGCCTATTTTTATTCATTAACAGGTTCTAATAATCAATCCTCTTAGTGCTAGACCTAGGCAGCACACTACTACCACTGTTAACCATCATATTCAAATTGGTCATTGCAGGCAAGCATTACCATATTTGCCAAGTAATGAAAAATATTGCAATTTTAATCTTACCAATTTTAAGAAAAAGCGTTATTTCTTAATTTTGATAGCCATAAAATAATTTTAATATTAATCTTTTATGCCGGTTCCGGATACGGCGACCGTTTCTTGACTACTGATATCTATCATGGGCTCTCAAACCGCTGAAAAACACACCTTTGTATATAAATATTCCTCACAGAGTAGACACTTGAGAACACAATAAACATGGTTATAATTGCCGTATAATGTAAGTATACGTACCTATCCCCATCGTAATTTACATTAAAACTCCTTTCTACCGTAACAAAACAAAGAATTTTGGAAATCGGTTCACAAATGGCGGAGTATCAGCTGAACATAGTACCTAATCCTATTTTTGAAGTCGGTAAAAACTTCATAAAGTTTTTCAACAAACAACGTAAAGTTAAGTCGGGCAGAAAATAAGGAATATTACCTTATAAAGTAAACTAATATTTTTCTGCCACTAACAACACTGCCTCGTTATCATTAAATAATCTCTGTAGACTCATTAAAATTTATAACAAAATTCGAAGAGGACATAATTAGTCCATTAATATTTTTTAATTACGCATTAAGAAATTTGAAGAAATAATAATACATTAACTTTAGACATTAAAATGCTGTTTTTGTAGTATAAACAATATTTAAATATGACCTTTTTAATTGGACGTCTTGGATTACATTATATTTTCATTGTAAGTTCCTCATATTTTCATAATTGGTTTGTTTATTTCTATTTGTTTCAAATGACCCAAATAGTGTTTATATAGTAACTATTCGAGAGTAATTTTAAATTAACTAAAAATCCCGGGTTACTCTCGTGAATATTGAGAAAAGCTCCATTAGTTTTGTGCCACAGAGGGGCTCTTCCTCATGAGCAGCGAGCGCGGTCGCGGCAATGTCGTTCAGCCTACTGAGACTGACTAAATTAGTAGAAACTTTTTGCAGTGTATTCACGTAAATAAACCGCGATTTTTATTTAATTTAGTTTACTAAGTACTATTTAATAAGTGCCCACTGCTGAGCAATGGAAGCGGTCGTCTTAAACTCCGGGTCACCACGACCATAGTTTACAGTTCAACAAAAACACTAGGAACTAGGTATAAACTTGAAATTAGGTATAAACCTAGGCTACAAAATTAGGTCCAAATTGAACATACAATACAACGATCTCAAGTCAATAATCGGCTCTACAACCGTCACGGACTTAATTTGAGATGAACACAGATTCCCTATGGACTGTTGGCCTCAATATCCGTGCAGAGGTTTCATTGACATCTGTAGACTAATAACATATAATCACTACATAGTACAAAACAAAGTCGCTATACGCCTTCTGTTTGTCCCTATATGTGCTTAGATCTTTAAAACTACGCAATAGATTTTGATGCGGTTTTTTCTATTAGATAGAGTGATTCTGAAGGATATATTACATATTACACCTGTGCGAAGCTGGGGCCGGTCGCTAGTATTACTTTTCATATGTATGGAAGTAGGATAGTACAATACATAATATCATAATATTACAATCTTATACTGGATTTTCTTATAGACTTAATAATTGAATGAATACTAAAGGTTGTACAATATAGGACCCATGTTTGTATTATATCAGTATCAATTGAGAAACTATTTATAACCTACTAGCTTTTACCCGCGGCTTCGCTCGCGTCATACACACAGCGCCATTTATACCAATAACATTTATACCAATAATTTCGTTTTCCCTCGATAATATACATTTTTTCCGGGATAAAAAGTACCCTATTATTTAATCCAGACTTTTAACTTTACGCCTGCAAAATTTCAAAGCAATCGGTTTAGTAGTTACGGCGTGAAAGTGGAACAAACAAACAAACAAACAAACTCACTTTCCCATTTATAATATTAATAAGGATTTTTTGCACATTCACCCCCTTAACGTTGGTTAATTTTCTTTAACTATTTTGTGACAAGACTGGCAATGTTATTTTTTTTATTATTTTTTTATTTATTTATTTACAAAACCAACAGCGATACATATGATATAATACAAAATAAAGATATTACAGTTTAGTAAGGCTAATAATAGGTTTCCCTGCTTAACTTAATTTCGTCCCATTGGAAGAATAAAGTGTTATGATCACATGTGTCGAAATTCATATTATGTTAAATTCGTCATCCTTATAATGTAAACTATCGATTAATACTATTTTTATATATTTTTATCAATTAATTCAAAAGATACAATGCTCGAATAAAGTTTTATCCGCGCCGACTACGTAAAATAACTATGCATGATCACATACAACAATATTCTCCGCCTTGCTCCTGCGCAATTAGCTGCGCGTGCCGTGTCGCTTCATCCTAAGTAACGTTGTTCGACGAAGTAGCAGCGAGTGGTGTTTGTTACAATGAATACCCAAAATTTGATAAAATATGCTGTATATAATGGTTTGATACAATTTACACTACGTTTTATAAATTTCCAACAAAGACAGTATTTATAATCACATAAAACATTTTTTTACGAAATACCAAAGCTTACTTATTAGATCTTAAATCTGAACTAAATACTTTAATAATAACTTATATAACATAACGGTATCTAATAGGACTTGTCTTATTTTTTCCCCTATTTTTCCAGTTTCTTATAAACCTAGTACATTTTACTACGTAAAATTTTATATTTTTTTCGTCCGCAAGTACGCATAAAACATTATTCTACAAAAAAAATAATTAAAGTGAGTGCCGTATATGCAAATGACACTTCTTTTTACCAACGGTTTTATTATAAAACAATATTCGAAATCTTAAAATTGCTATAAAATGGTTAAATTTAATTTAAAATATGAACAGCTTATTCAATAATCTATTAACAACTAAATGTACTAGGTAGGTATAGCAAAAAAGTAACTAATGTAAGTTTACATTGAAAACACCAATGGACCTAAACACAAGAGTGCACGCCTCCCTTTTTGACATGTTTGCTTTTTGTATTAGAAAAATCGAAATAGTTTATTTTTTAAACTCCCAGTTTATAGAAAAAAAAAAAAATTAAACAGTGACACGTGAAAAAGTGAGTGCGTACTACCACAGTAGACCACTCGAGCGCTCATCAAATTACATATATCTAAGTTATGTACATACATTTACTTTACTAATTTTTTTTAAACTATTATGTTATGCATATACTCCTTGTTACTTTTACAGAATCAAAGGAAAAATAATTATATCCAATATAATTTTATTATTAAATTTTTTCAATGATGATTTCTCAAACGATGGGGAAAGAGCAGGTCAGGCTCAATTGGTGAGTTTGTGGTACCAGTGGAATAGACGATCTTTGAGTTAGAATTTGCATTAAATAGGGAATATGAAATAAAGTACACCACCAAGACGAAAAACAGATGTTTGAATCAGGATACACCAAAGAATTGCAATTTTATTTATACATATTATAACGAGCAAGCGACGC